TGGCCAATTTCCAAGACAGTATAACAGTTGCTAGGAACAGTGGAGTATAGGGCCAAAATAACAGTTGTAAGGAAGCCATATGGGTCCTTTGCAGCCCATTCCACAACAAACTCAGCCCAAGCCTTTATATCAAACATCTTCATAGCAGTCTTATGAAAACTGGGGACCAGGCGCGGTGGTTCACGCCAGTAATCCCAGCACTTTGGGAGGCCAAGGTGGGTGGATCACCTGAGTTCAAGACCAGCCTGGCCAACATGGTAAAACCCTGTCTCTACTAAAAATACAAACATTAGCCGGGCGTGGTGGCTCATGCCTGTAATCCCAGCTACTAGGGAGGCTGAGGCAGGAGAATTGCTTGAACCTGGGAGGCAGAGGTTACAGTGAGCAGAGATCGCGGCACCACACTCCGGCCTGGGCAACAAAGCAAGACTCCCTCAAAAGACAAAAAAAAAGAAAAAGAAGAAGGAAGGAAGGGAGGGAGGAAGGGAGGAAGGGAGGAAGGGAGGGAGGGAGGGAGGGAGGAGGAAACCAGGGCTTATGCTTGAGTAGTGATCTCTAACTTTGTCCTGGTATTATTAGTGACTCAATCACAATTTCAGATGACCCTTGGTAGTCCGTCTTTTTTCTATCATACACATCGGAGAGACAGTTTAAATTCCTATCAGGGCTGCAGACCCATGGGGGCCACGTTCACCCTTTCCCATTGGCCTTGGCAAGAGTAGGCCCCTTATTGCACAGAGAGGAGGGTCCTGGGGGATCCTGGGTCGGCCCTGCCACACCTTGCTTGGCCACCATTTCTGCTGGGCACCAGGAGAAAACCACGGCAGCCGCAGCCACCAGCCTCTCCTCCATCACCCCCAACACCCTCCTTTTAAAAAACTTGCTTCTAATTAATAGAATACAAAATGTTGAAAGGATGTTACTTCTGTGATTAGGTTACAAAGAAAACGGTGACTTCTGTCTTGCTAGCAGATGCTCTCCCTTGGGGATTTTGACTAATCAAGTTGTCATGTTAAAGAAGCCTATATGACAAGGAACTGAGGATTGCCTATTGCCAACAGCCAGCATGTAACTGAGGCCCTCAGTCCACAAACCCTCAAAGGGTTTGTTGATTTCTGACAACAATCATGTGAACTTAGAGCTGATCTCTCCCCAGTTAAGCCTTCAGATGAGATGCCAACTCTGACCAACACCTTGATTTCAGTCTTCAGAGACTCTGAAGCTTAGGACCCTGCTGAGCCATACCTGGATTTCTGACCCTTGGAAAGGATAATGTGCATTGTTTTAAACTACTAAGTTTTAGTTAATTCATTATACAGCAATAGATGATAATAATACAAGAGGAGATACAAATGTAAAGAGAAGTAAAAACTCTGTAACTCTGAATTAGAAAGAAAAACAAACAGGCATACACAGATATATATCTCCTAGGTCTTGCTATTGAAAAGGCTTGGAAACAATAACCAGCTAAGCAGTGAGCCGTTGCTAGCATTCAGTTTGTCATCTTGAAATTCCATATCCCCATAAAGAAATCAGGATTCCCGGGAGAAATGGCTGAATCCAGATCGGAGGCAAGAAATGTATGGCATGAGACTGAAACATCTTGTCGTATCATAAAGCAAGGGTCTTGAGTCAGAAGTACTCAGGTGCCAAGTTGAAGACCTTCCCACTTGAAGATAGGAAAATTTGAGCCCCAGTAAAGATAATGACAGCAAAGAGTTGAAACACTTCAAGTATGTTTATATCCCTGAGTCTGTAATTATTCTTAAAAAAAAAAAAATTGGTCACCATTGGAGAATGCTAGAGAGCCAAGTATTTTGAAAAGACATAAGTAAAGGGAAACAAGTATTTATCCTGCCTTTTCCACATGAACTGTACAACTTCGTAACCACATAGATGATAAGAAAAAGTTTATTTTAATGTATTAAAATAAACTTTTAATATATTACAAGAAACATTACCTATATAGCAGGGTGCCTCGTGCCTCGGCTGCCTACAAGCTGTGTGACCTTGGGTGAGTGACTTAACCTCCTTGTGCCTCAGTTTCCCCCTCTTTAAAATGGAGTTGACTACACATTTAGATCATGTTTGGGGATTAAATGAATTAATACATGTCAAGCAACTAGAACAGTGCCAGGTGTTTCAGAAGTATCTACTATCATTGTTATATTTATTCCTAAAATGCTGGCATTTATCCAACCACAGTTCTTGGCACCCCTTGCACCATACACCTCCAGTTACTCCTGGGCTTTAGCCTGGAGCCCAATGTGCATCCCCACCCTGCATCACCCTACTCACCCTAGGACTCATAACCCCACTCACCACGGGACTCACCCTGAGCCGAGCCAATCTTTAACAGAGACTCTTCCAAAGCCCTTGGGCAACTTGACACCTGGGCAAGTCCTGCACCACTGACCCACCTTCTGCTGCCTCCTTAGGTGGCTTGGAGAATATTTCATATCATTAACTTCCTCACTTTGAGCCCATCTAGGGCAAAGAGGCAAGTGGGAGACTCTTTTCCTTACTCCCCAAACATCCTGGGACCTTCTGCTTAGTTCTTTTCGAATTCCTAACCACTCTGGATCCCATCCCACCCCCATACACCACTTGCCCCACAAATGGATTTACATGCTTTACCTGTATTGCTTTACCTCCTGAGATTTCTCTCCTCACCCACCTAACCTTCATGTCTTTCCACAAGAGCACAGAGAGGTGAAGTAACTTGTGCACAGTCACACAGCTAGATAGTAACAAACTACAGCTATGCTATGCTACCAAGCAGCAAACTTAACCGTATCTTCACTTTCCCAGCCCTTCCTTCCCATGATGCTGCACTTTCCCAATCACTGCCCAGCCTCTCACACCTGACCTGCATTAATGCACCTGACCTACCAGAATTCTATTCGTTTCTTCCTCTTGTATACCAACAGGTTATCCCCCGCACCCCCTCCCTCCAGTGCTTTCAGGGCACAGTTACTCATTCAAAATAATTACTCAATACCTGTTTATGTGGCATCACGTTTGGCTTCCACAAAAGGAAATAAAGCATAATAATTACCCAGATTGGAAAACAAAATTCCAACAAAAGAACACTAGATGGGGAATCATTGAGTCTTCAATGCAGACCTTTGCCACCTCACAGGCATGTGACATTGAGCAATCACTTTTACTTCACTGTGCTCAGTTTACACAATACATACGTATGGCAAACACCTGTGCCTTCCTCTTCTAGGTTGATTGTGAGAACCTGTTGACAACCTCAGTGGGAAAACTATTTTTATTCCATACCTTAGCCTTTGCACTGGCTCACCTCTTCCTGGAACATCCTTCTTCTAGATAGCATCGAGCTGACCCCCACTTCACCTCTTCATCTTAGTTTAAATGTCTCCTCCTCAATGAAGCATCCCTGACCCCGCCTGCACCATATAATGAAATCTGACTCCTCCTTACACTGCTCCACTTTCTTCTGTTTCAAAAGTACTTTATCACCTTCTAATATACTACATAGTTACTATGATTATTGTCTATTATTTTTCTCTCCTGCTAGAATGTAAACTTTGTTAGGGCAGGAACCTTTGTCGGCTCTGCTGATGTATCCCAAGTTCCTACAGTGGTACCCACTGGCCTAACAAGTGCCCCATGGATGTTTGCTGATTGACAGAGTGCCCCCATCCACAGTCTGAGCCTCCCTTCTTTAGGTCTCTTGGTGCTCCTCTAATTATAGGGGCACTGAAAATCCTTCTTGTTACTGTTAGTGAGGCCAAATGCAGGAAGTAGTGGCATCAACTACTACAACACTTTGGACCAGATCAGTGAAAGAGAATCTGGAAAACAACAACAACAACAAGAAAAAACAAACAAACAAACAAAATCCAAACATTCCCAAATTCTCCCTTCAATTTTCTCTTTACTACAGGCATGCCCATTTGGGCCCTTTTTACATTCCTATCTCTCCCCTCCTCCTCTCTTACTCATTTGGGATGTCCCTCATTCCCTAAATGTTCCTCCTTCACCCTTTTGTCTTCCATTTTGTGGCTTTTTCCTCTGTGAGCTTTACTTTGCTTTTCTGAGTAGGTGAGAGAGAAAGGGACTGTCTGAGCACTGGGGTTGGAGTCACAGAAGGACCACGCCAGGCTTCAGTGTTGAAGGTAAGTGTGGCATGCCATAGCACCATATATGAGGAAACCTCAGCTGGGACCTTGTTCCTTTGACCCAGGCAGTTCAGAGAGCCCAAGAGAGGACTGGGGGTGTGGACTGGCAGGTCTGCATGGTGCTGGTAAACATGCAACAAACAGCCCCTTTCCTTTTGCCCTGCGAGCTCATGCAAGAGGAGCAGAAGCTCTGTAGAAGTAGCTTTTTCCTAAAGTAAACATTTATGGGTCCTGTTTAGATTGCCTGGATAAACATTTAGCTCTATTTGCCTATTCCAGAGCAGAGGACGCTGCCTTGCTCTACAAACTCATCTCAACTCACTTGCCCATTGCACTTCACAGGCATCTCAGTCCTCTTAGGGTGGGACAGGCAGTAGGTCAGTGAGGGGAGCACAGGTTTAGGGACTACCTACTGATGTAGAGGTTGCAAGTGGAAGGATGGAAAAGAAGTTATTATTTGCTTGATGCCTCTAGCATATTCAAAGGACCATACTAATCCTCAGGGTAGTCTGGGACCTTGATACTCAAAGTGCACTCCATGAACCAGCAGCATCTGAGGCACCTAGGAGTGCATTGCTCATTTAAAAGGTAGGTTCCTGGGCCCCCTTCTGACCTTTTGAATTAGGAATCTGCATTTTAACAAGATCTCAAGTGATTTGTAGGTATTATACAATTTCATAAACGCTATTCCAGAAAATCTGAATTCAGCTAATTGCTAATTGTTCTATTGACAAATAAAATAGTAAGTAACTTTTAAAGAATCGTTTATGGTTCCTAAGCCATGAGGAAAAAAAATACACATATATATGTATTCTTTAACACTTTAAAAATAAACTTCAAAGACAAAGGTTTAGGGCAGAACAGTTTTAAGCTCAACTTTTATTTCCTCTCTTTTGAAATATTCTGATTTAGGTTTTGACTATGGAGAAAAGAGTAACGATGTCAGCAGAGGCATTTCATATCCTAATTTTAACATGATACTTAAAATTCTACCTACATTTGTTAAATGGTATTATTTCTTATGTAAATCATAATGTATATTTATTGAGAGCTACATTTTAAGTACAAGTTTGTATTTATTTAATCTTATGTACCCTATGAGGAAGGTACTGATGTCATCCTCTGTTTTACAGATGGGGAGACTATAGCATAGGAGCATTTACATAAGTTGCCTAAAGTCCCACAGCTCAGAAATGGGGAGGAAGGATTTGAACTTGGTGCCAGAGCATACGTTTAACCCTGACAATAAATGTCTGAGCATGCTGGTCTCCCTAGTAAGCAGCAAGCTGCCCAAGATATCAGACTTCTTTTCTTTATAAAACTACTTCAATGATGCTGCTTGCAATGGCACTCAAAGTTGCTGACCAACCCCCAAAAAAAGAATAATGCGGACATAAAAGGCTATGAATTAAAGAGGTACCTTGTGAAGAATAGAGATTTTAAAGTATCATCTTATTATTTGTAACAAAAATGGAAAACTTAAATACAGTAATGACCAGCATTGAGAATCTGATATGAATCATCAACATAGTTATGTTGATATGTATATGCTACATACTACGTTGATGATTCATATCAAACTCATTAACATGATATCAACATATATATATGGATGATTCATATCAAAAACATGAGTTAGATATGAAATGAGAAATAGATTTCTATTTTTTTTTTGAGATGGATTCTCGCTCTGTCACCCACGCTGGAGTGCAGTGGCGCGATCTTGGTTCACTGCAAGCTCCGCCTCCCGGGTTCACGCCATTCTCCTGCCTCAGCCTCTGCAGTAGCTGGGATTACAGGCGCCCGCCACCACGCCTGGCTAATTTTGTGTGTGTGTGTGTATGTGTGTGTGTGTGTGTGTGTGTGTGTGTGT